TGCTGCTGTTCTCCCTCTTCTCGGGGCCCGGTCCACTGACTCTTGTCTTTTGAAGCTCAGCGGCTCGCTTCTTTAACGTCGTCGCGAACGTCTCGCCCTTGTCGTTACGAACGCCGTTGCCCCTCACGGACTCCCGCTTGCCCTTGCCATTGCACCGCCTCCCGCGCTTGCTCTTGCCGCCCTTGCCCTTGTCGCGCCGCCCTGTCCAACTCCTTCGATCCCTCCCCGCCCTCGGAGGACATTCTCCCCCATCCCCTCCCATGCCCCGTATCCCCCCCCCTTCATCCTGCCTCGCCCTACTTCTCCTGGAGCCCGCCAGCGAAGGGGAAATCTCGAAACTTTGTTAATCGCATGACGCGGTCAGACTCTATGTATGTATACTACTGTATGATCTCAGACAGGGATATTAATGTGATGGGCCGGGATAGGAATTGGGATACATGGTACGCCCCTGAGCTGACTGCTCCTGCACCCCCTCCTAATCTCCCCCTCCACCGCCCGACTCCTGCTGACTCCCCCTCCCGACGTCCCCTCCTCTGGGGCCCCAGAGCCCCGGCCCCCGGCCCCTGGCCTATCGACTCCTGGCCCATCCGAACTACCTGAGTGCCGCCCCGTGTAGATGGGGGAGAGCAAATCGATCGAATCGCCGAAAGCTTGGGACCCGAGTCCTGAAAGCTTGGGGCCCGAGTCCTGTAGCCCAATTCGACTTCTGGTTGGTGTGCGCGCGCTGGCCCCCAGCTTTCTGCATCTTCCCCCCGAAGTCTTTGCATGCGCGTGTTGGCGCCCCTGTCTTAATGAGCGCCTTGATGCCCGGCGCGAGCTGGTGCTCTAGGCCGCGGTCGACGTGCGTCTTCTTGAGCTGCGCGAAGAACCATGCGTGCACGACGCACAGGAAACTGGTCGCGGTCTGGCTATCCGCGTAGATCTCCATGGGCCTGTCTTCAGCAGCTGCAGCGCTCCGCAACGTCGCATCTCGATATCCGTGAACTCGGAAACACAGCTTGATCGTGATCTTTACCAAGAGCTGCGCTACTCTTGCCATCGGTGTTCTTGACCGTAGCAAGCGCGGCCCTGCCGCGCACTCCGACGCCTTGTACCTGATAGAGCACCTAGGCATCTCGATGCTCGTAGTCCAGCTCATGGCCCAGTTCATGGTGAGGGTTCTCGGCCACTCCGGTGTCATTTCAGAAACTCTGAGAGCGTCACTTGTCCAGAACCGAGACGATGTTGCTATGCAGTCTACACAGACACCCACTCTCTGACGAGCCACTCTTGGAAAC